AGCAGGGAGAAGGGTGTGTGTGTAATGGACTATTCACCGCTGTGGCGCAAGCAGGAATTCTGGGCTGGCTGCAGGATGCTGGGGCAGATGCTCTGCTCTGGGCTGTGCAGGAGGGCAGGCTGGCTGGGCACCATGGTCCCTTGCTGGCCTCTCTGGGGAGCCTCCTGGTCCGGCTGGGAAAGGGGCCCGGCTCCATTCCACCCCCAAACTCGGCAGCGATTCCCAGGGCAGGAGCTGCGCCCGGGCCCAGCTCGGGCTGCAGGCTCCGATTCCCACCCCAGCTGGGAACAGAACAGAACGAGGCAGCCCAGAGAAGCGTTTGGTAGGAAAAACTTATTAAGAAAACATCTTAACAAAGCAACACAACCCCAGCTAAGGGGCGGGGCCCAGGCTCTGCCCAGCCTCTTGGGCACCAGGTGAAGCAAACGACCAGAGAGTCACCCCGGAGCCAAAGGGCAGGGATGGAGCAAAGCCAGCACCTGGCCACGGGGAGCAGCCAGCAGTCCCGAGGGAAGCAGGACCCCAGAGCCTATGAGGGCGGGAGCTGCCTCCAGACTGCCACCAGCAGGTCCTTGCGTCTGGCTGCTCATTCACGTTTTCCACGGTGGATCATGCTGCCAACACTCAGTACAGTCAGGTCCCAGAGCAGTTCCTGCAGTCAGGGGACACATCTCTGAGAAGCAGCAGCTGGCACCAGCAGCGTCCAGGGAAGATGGTGGGGGCAAGTCCTTCCATCAGCAGGGTGCCAGGGGAGGGCACGGGGTGTCCAGTTTGGCGCTGACTGTCCCTTTCACTGGCCAGCTCTTCCCTGACGCCGCGGCCGCTCAATGGCAGAGTTCAGCAGGTTCGTCAGAACAAACGTTTCAAACACAGCACGGTTTGAGGAAAAGTCAACGGGCGAACGTCGCCTGCCCCAGCTCCTTGCACAGCTCCCACCAGCAGGCTCCCCTTGGCACAGTTTAGTCCTAAGGTCCTGGGTTGGGTGTCCAGTAGCAGGCGGCAGCGGCTCCAGCAGGCAGGCTCTGGCCTGGAGACCTCCCTGGCAGCTGTAGTGGGGACAATACCGGCCTTCCTGCCTGTGTGTCACAGCCCCAACCTCGGGCCACGGGCTTGTCGCCTAGCCACCCCGGAGCGAGCTGTGACAGGAAGTCAGGCTGGAGTGAGGCTGCGAGGCCCTTTGCAAAGCACCTGGCTAGCACTGCTTGGTGAGCACGCAGGACTCAGGCTGCCCTGGCATCTGTAATCTGGGGGCTCAGCCCTGCCCCACCCCTGTCCCACGCCAAGATCCCAGGTGAGGCAGCCCCTGGGGAAGGGGTGGCTGAGCTGCTGGTGGCGAGAGAACCCCCCCCCCGTCTGCCAGTGAGCAGCTGCCGCCCGCAGTTCTGAGGGAGGCCAGAGAGAGCACCGTCCCCTCCCCAGCGCCCCCGGGGCTCAGCAGCCAGGGGCAGCGCTGCATTCTCGTTCCACCCGCTTGCCTCACTGGCTTCGGTCCTGCTGCCTCCCTCTCCAGCCTCCATCCACTCCCCCCACAGGGCCCTTCGCACCCTGGGCTCCTGCAGAGATGCTGGCCCTGCATGGGGAAGGCCTGGGAGTACAGCAAAGTCCCTAGAGAGGGCAACATTGCGCCTTCCTGAAGGTGCTGGGTACCTGCCTGGCCACAGAGCTCCCTGGGCTGTTCCGCAGAGGCCTGGCCTAGCTGCAGGAGCTTGGAGGTGACGACAGCCCCCTCAGCCTCTGCCCCCTGGGATGCCCCACTAGGGCTCTGTCTGACCAGGAGGGCCTGGCTCCGTGGAGGAGACACAGCTCAGCCCCTGCTGCACTTGCCCAGCCGCCCCAGGAAGCTGCAGCAATGCCCGGCGCCGAGCGACCCTGGCCACTCTGGAGACCACGCTGCCTGGCAAGGCTCAATGAGGCAGACGACGGGGCAATGGGGTCAGCTCAAGGGCTCCCCAGCCATGCTGAAGGGGCAACTAGGGCTCGCAAAGCTGCTCAAGCAGGAACCATTGGCAGGTCAGTGTCCCTCTGGCCCCGTAGACAGCCCCTGGGAGCTCCCTCAGGACCCCACAGCCTGGCCTGTCACAAGCTCAGGGGGACTCAAGGGAGAGATTTATTGTAATGGCAAAGCCTTAAGAGCAGGTTACAAGCATGACAAGGCAGGGAGTGTGTGGGGCAGGATCTAAGGGTGTGCATCTCGTATGGGGGAGCAGAGCAGGGGGCTCAGGAGGTATATGGGGCAGAG